GCGCAGTCCGGAACGCTGTTGTTGAGGCATGTTTCCGTGAACACAAAAACACAACATTCTCTTACAGTCCTCTGAGTTGAGCGTAGTAGTCGGATGTAGTCCAGTTTATTGTCCAAAGAGCGTACGTTAGCCAGTACGATGGTGGGGATAGCTGGCTTGTGTGGGTTAGCCGCTAGCCTAGCCCGGATACCTCCGCGCTTGCCCCTCTTCTGCTTCCTCTCACGCCGCTTGTGGCGCCTCCGCTGTGGGCGAGATGCAGTAGTGGGGGTCGGTGATGGTGTGGGCCTCCGGAGCAGACCGAGATCCCGCAGCTCTTCGGCGTGCGCAGAGTTTAACTCTAAAAATGTGGTTCTGCCGACATCGAGCAGAAACTCACGACTGTATGCGCGCTTAGAGACAGATAGACGCGACGAATACGTACAAAAACACTGCAACTCACAAGACAAAAAACACGAAACAGCGTGTTTCGCTGTGTCAGTGTGATCCTTATCAAACGCAACACATAAGTAATAGGATAGTTGACTCAAAAGTAATCTCATGGGCAGATGAGGGCTATTCCTTCATTATTTCTACATCAGTTAAGCAGGTACAAGGTCTGGAGTTGATTCTAAGTGTGCTATTTGCATTTGGAAGCTGTTGCTGTGAAGCACATCATGAGGTCAAAGATCTCTCCATACAAGTGAAACAGACAATTGTTAGGCTTCAAAAACAAAAGTAATCCATCCGAGAGATAGCAGGAACATCAGGAGCGGCTAAATCAACAGTTTAGTTCATTCTGAGAAAAAGAGACTGCATTGGTGAGCTCAGAAACATAAAAAGACCTGGACGTCCACGGAGGACAACAGTGCTGATGATCAGAGGATCCTCTCTATGGTAAAGAAAAACCCTTTCACAACATCAGCCAAGAGAAGAACACTCTCCAGGAGACAGATGTGTCTCTGTCAAAGTCTACGATCAAGAGAAGACTTCACCAGAGCAAATACAGAGGCTTCACCACAAGCTGCACACAATGCCAGGCTAGACTTCGCCAAAACACATCTAAAATAGCCAGAGCACTTCTGGAAAAGCATTCTTTGGACGGCTGAAATAAAAACCAAAATGTACCAGAACGATGGGAAGAAAAAGTCTGGAGAAGGCTTGGAACAGCTCATGATCAAAGCACACACATCATCTGTGAAACATGGAGCAGTGTGATGCATGAGCGTGCATGGCTTCAGTGGCACTGGGTTACTGGTGATTATTGATGACGTGACAGAAGGCAGAAGCAGCGGGATGAACTCTGAAGTGTGTAGGGATATACTCTCTGCCCAGATTCAGTCAAATGCAGTAAAGTTGATTGGACGGCGCTTCATAGCACAAATGGACGATGACCCAAAAACATACAGCAAAAGCAACCCAGGAGTTTTTGAAGGTAAAAAAGTGGATTATTCTGTGATGGCCGAGTCAATCTCCTGATCTCAACCTGATTGAGCAGCATTTCACTCACTGAAGACAAAACTAAAGACAGAAAGAGCCACAAACACACAACAACTGAAGTCAGCTGCAGTAAAGGCCTGGCAAAGCATCACAAAGAAGAAACCCAGTCTCTGCTGATGTCCATGAGCTCCAGACGTAAGGCAGTCAATGCCTGCAAAGGATTCTAAACACAATATCAAAAATGAACATTTTATTTACATTTGAGCCCCTGAAAATGGGGTGACTGTGTATAAAAACTGATGTAATTCCTAAGCACTTTATGTTGTATTTTTGTTCAACCCCTTATTGCTTAAAGTCTGCACTTCAGTTTAATCCTGACTGTTTCATTTTAATTGTATTCTGGTGGCATACAGAGCCGAAATTATGTGCATGTGTTCTATGTGTGATTTGATGGCTCAGGTCCAGACGTGGGCGAAGCAGCAGGCCGAGAGGATCCAGACCACACTGTCTGCTCTCGAGGCAGAGAGAGAGGAGATCCAGCGATTACTGGACTGGATCTCCTCCGCTGAAGAGTCTCTCAATCTGAAGGAGCAGGAGCCGCTGCCTGAAGACCTAGAGCTCTCTGCAGATCTCATCACTCAGCACACGGTACTAACAGCCAATAACAATCTATTCACATTAAACAATTCTGTCCTCATTTACTCACTTATGCTGAGAAAAAAGTCATGCAATTTTGGAACGACTGAGTAACTAGTGCTGTCAACCGATTAATCGTGATTAATCGCATCCAAAATAAAGTTTTTGTTTATATATGTGTGTGTACTGTGTATATTTATTATTTATATATAAATACACACACATACAGTATATATTTTGATAATATATCAAGCACAGCACACACACATATATTATGTAAACAAAAACTTTTATTTTGGATGCGATTAATCGCGATTAATTGTTTGACAGCACTACTAATTACAAAATTTTAATTTCGGAGTGAACTGTCCCTTTAAGAAAAGCAAAAATATAAATAAAATGTAAGTATTTACAACGATCACTACTTTATTCTGAGAGAAGGAAGAGGTTCATTTAAAAAATACAGTTTTTATAAGGTTTGACACCTGTGTATCTACTTCAAAAACCTTTATAAAATCAGGCAAATCAACATCAGTTTTCATCCTGAAGGTCCTGTCAAATTTTATTTTTTTAATACTGTTTCCTGTTTTGTTCTGTGTCTCAAACAAAAATCAGTGAAGTAATATTAAAATGAAAATGGAAAATATGAAAACATAGACACGCACAAACACACAATTAAAAAATCAGAGCAGATCCGCCTCTAAAAAACCAAAACCATGATGAAGGTTCAAGGTCAAGAAATGTTACTGTTTCCTTTTTAAGGATTTCATGAGGAATGAGATGAAAGGGAAGGTACCAGAAATTGAAAACGCCACAAAATCCTGTAAACACAAGCTGGTTCCCAAGCATCAGGTTTCCCCCAGTCGCAAAGCACCAGCAAGTGAGTAAAGAATCGGTGTGATCCGCTGCTGTGATTATTGTGTGCATGTATTCGGCTGTAATCTCTGTGGATTGTATTCATGCATAGAGAGGAGAGGCACAGCGAAGCCCCCGCCGTCTGCTCCTCTTCCACTGGAGAAACTGGACCCGCAGACACCCGTGATGAGTCAGCTGGTGAGTCAGTGGAGGACACTCTGGCTCCTGGCCCACGGCAGACAGAGCAGACTAGAGGAACATCTGCAGAGGCTGAAAGAGGTGATCATGAATGCGCTCCAGCTTTGATAAAAGAATAGCCTACATTTGTGTTTGAATCCATGTGGTTGTCTAAGAACCGTCTCTTTAACACATGCAGCTGGAGGAGTTTGCTAATTTTGACTTCAACATCTGGCGGAAAAGATACATGCAGTGGATAAGTCACCTCAAATCCCGGATACTGGATGTTTTTCGTAGCATTGATCGTGATCAGGATGGACGAATCACTCACAAGGAGTTCATCAGCAGCGTTCTGGCCTCTAGTGAGCATTAAAACTCTTGGTTGCTGATTTTTTGCATCATGTTGTTTGAGTGAATACCCATATGCAAAAATATGTGTACATGTATTACATTTCCATGTATGAAATTGTCATATGAATTAAAAACATATATGAAAAGTATTAGAAATTGGAACAATTTCATATATGAAATATACTATGTAATATATAGATGTAATACATTTTACAATTTTTTTATGTCCATCCTAAAACCAGTCAATACAATTTGATATTATGAATAAATATAAAAAATAGACATGTATTTACATATATGTATGTGTGTGTGTATATACAGTATATATGAAACCAATATACGTATATATATATATATATATATATTTATTC